GGCATATCTGGGCACAACTGTCACAGACGCAGTCATCACAGTTCCCGCATACTTTAATGATTCACAGAGGCAAGCGACGAAGGATGCCGGTCGGATTGCTGGTTTGAATGTGCTGAGAATCATCAACGAACCCACTGGAGCCGCATTAGCCTATGGTCTGGACAAGAATCTGAAAGGTGAACGCAACGTGCTGATCTTCGATTTGGGCGGCGGTACCTTCGATGTATCCATTCTGACCATTGACGAGGGTTCACTGTTCGAAGTGCGCGCCACTGCTGGCGACACACATCTTGGTGGCGAAGATTTCGACAACCGACTGGTGACTCACTTGGCGGACGAGTTTAAGCGCAAATACAAGAAAGACCTACGTTCAAACCCCAGAGCGTTGCGTCGTCTACGTACAGCAGCTGAGCGAGCGAAACGTACCTTGTCATCGAGCACAGAGGCCACCATTGAAATCGACGCACTCTTCGAAGGAATCGACTACTACACGAAAGTGTCAAGAGCACGCTTTGAGGAATTGTGTGCCGATTTGTTCCGTCAAACACTGGAGCCAGTGGAGAAGGCGCTGAATGATGCGAAGATGGACAAGAACCAGATTCACGACATCGTTTTGGTTGGTGGTTCTACACGCATTCCAAAGGTACAGAGTCTATTGCAGTCGTTCTTCTGTGGCAAGAGCTTGAACCTTTCGATCAATCCGGACGAGGCGGTGGCATATGGTGCAGCTGTCCAAGCAGCTATTCTTAGTGGAGACAAGAGCAGTGAAATTCAGGATGTTCTCCTAGTCGATGTGGCGCCACTGTCATTGGGTATCGAAACGGCTGGCGGTGTTATGGCGAAAATCATTGAACGCAATTGCCGAATTCCATGCAAGCAAACGCAAACATTCTCCACCTACTCGGACAACCAACCTGGCGTCACCATACAGGTGTATGAAGGTGAGCGTGTGATGACCAAGGACAACAACCGCTTGGGCACTTTCGATCTATCAGGCATACCGCCAGCACCACGTGGAGTGCCACAGATTGAAGTGACATTTGATCTGGATGCCAATGGTATTCTGAACGTATCGGCGAAGGAAATGAGTTCGGGTAATGCCAAGAATATCACCATCAAGAACGACAAGGGCCGTCTATCGCAAGCCGAAATCGATCGCATGGTCAACGAGGCTGAACGTTATGCCGAAGAAGATGAACGTCAGCGCAACAAGATCGCGGCAAGAAACAGCCTGGAGAGCTATGTGTTTGGCGTGAAGCAAGCGCTGGACGGTGCTGGTGATAAACTCAGTGCGCAAGAGAAGAGCGAGGCGCTGAAGGCTTGCGACGACACAATCAAGTGGCTGGATGCGAATACGTTGGCCGACAAGGAAGAGTACGAAGACAAGATGAAGACGCTAACACAGCTTTGCACACCAGTTATGACGAAGTTGCATAGCGGTGGACAAGGAGCTTCCTGTGGTCAACAGGCGGGCGGTTTCAATGGTGGACGCAGTGGTCCTACTGTTGAGGAAGTAGATTAATCTGTAGCAGTTAGCAAATGTTATTAGGAATAGATCTCTGTACTTTAATGTGTAATTCATAAGAAGCTATTAGTAAAGAGTTAACTAGTCTCTAGAAGAAATGTAATGTAAAAAAGAAAGACTGCAAAATATAGCATTAATAAGTTATTTGTTTAAAAAAGAAAACTTGGTGTGTTTTACTTGAATCTCTTTATTTTTTTCTTTCGTTTTGTGTTTTCGTGTTGTCTGCTGCATATTTTGTTGAAGTATTCGGCCATTGTAGGCAACGTTTCGAATGGACATTCAGCGGGTGAATGAATCCCCTTAGCTAAGGGTGCGTTCAGAAATGCATCAGGCCAAATCATCAGCCTCTTTTACTTCTAAACTATAACTGATGGAAATGCCTTATTTACGCAACTGAAAGGGCATGTTCGAGGCACATAATAAAAGCGCCAATACTGCAGCACTGATGAAAATTTGCATGACTGTTGCAACTTCCCAATTTATAAAACCTTGCCAAAAATCTAAACCGAACTTGATACTTTCATAATTCGCGCAACACTGCGGTATGATGAAACTCGACAAGCCCATAAATGCGTCTGATGCTTTGGCTTAATGCATTTCTGAACACATCTTTATTCAAAGTATACGCTACGTTCGTAGCTATTCGAATTCAATCAGCCCTGTTCTACAATCCGATTCGAATCGGAATCGGATTTGTTTCCGAGTGTTGGTGTTCTGCATTCTGATAATCGGAAATTATTTCCGATTCCGCCTTGTTCAACATTTCGATCAACTTCGAATCGGAATTCTTCGGAAATTCGATGTTCTGCTTTCCGAGTATCGGAAATTTTTTATCGGAAATATTCCAATCAAGTAAAAGCCAATGGAATAGAAAAAGAACATAAAAAAAAAAACAAAAATATAAATGTAAGATCAAAGGAACATTTTAAACTTAAAATTATTTAAATTATTAATTAATTAATTAAAAAAAATTTAAAACCAAAAAAACTGCAACAGCTTGAGTTGGAGCTAGAGCGTTTCGAGTTTAAAAATAGTAAAGGTCTTAAAATGGTTATTTTTTTTGTAAATGGTTTACTTTTTAATTACAAAACTCATTTTAATTAAATAGAGGTAAGTTTATTCCACCAATTTTTTTTTTTGGATTTTCTTGCCAATTTTCACTAAAACCGAACTTCAGTTGGGTGGCCAGTAGCTAAAATGGTATTATAGACGGCAACTGGCAACTGAAAGCTGGCAACCGAGTTGCTATATTGACAACTGTATTTTTGTGATTGCCGCAGAAATTTTGATTGAGATAATTTATTTCTTTTTCCAACTGTTTCTTCAGCTTATTTATACTCAAGTGTTAGTTGCTGGTTATTCAAAATCTTATTACCTTCAACTTTATAGAACTTATCTATAGTTGCTATTCAAAATATAAATTTTCAATTCAGTGGCGTTGCCCATCGGCAGCCCAACTGCGGTTGCATTGTCATCCATTATCGACCCATTAATTTCACGAAATTCAAAATGAATGAAGTGTTTTCCCCATTTTTGAAATCATGTAACGGGCCATCAAGTTCAAGTCCATCATATTCCACATCTTTGAATGTACTCATAAAATCTTCTGCTTAAAAAAAAAAATCTTCTAATGATCAGGTAGCATGAATTTGATGAAATGGCATAATTTTATTAAAAGCCAAATGGTTAACAATAACAACTCATTTTAGGTAAATTTTTAAAGTTTTATTGAAATTAATTTTGCCAAATTTTACAATGAATACTTTAATACTACAATTACAACTACATAACAATGTCCATATCAATTTGAATGCAATATTGCTACATATTAATATTTTACTTATGTATTGTATATTTATATGCATTCTCTCGTATCGTAAAATAACAACAAAATAGTTCAAACGTAATAGCTAGTTTTCACTATGCCATAAGTTGACCACAAAATTTTTTAGCCCGTTTTGCTGATATCTTACTTTTTTTATTTTATGGCGCAAAAACATAACCAACTGAAGAGCTTTTCCGATATAATCAAATCGGTATTCTGTTTTCTCATTCAAGTCTGGTTTGACTATTCTTATGTATTTGACATAGTGAAAACAAGCCTTAAGGCAACGTGGAAAAAATATGGACTCGATTGCTCATCTGTTAGCAATTTATGTATGTGCATGCCAATGAACTTATAAATTCGTACAAGTGTTTTTTATATGGCAAAGTGGTGAATTGCAAATGTCCATATACAGAATATGTGCTTATGTACATATGTCTTTTTTCTTTGATAAACCAACTTAAGTCAACTTGGCACTATTTACCTGTAAGGCACTATATCGCTTGGCTTTAATGCAATATTTAAACGGTTTGGCAATAATTGTCCCAACTTTAAAGAACTTTAACAAAAAAAAATTAAATTTTTAAGTCAAACATAAACATATCGGATATTTGCTCTTTAAGAATTTTTCAAGTTTACTTCTTTTAGCTACAATTACTTTTAAAGTATTTATTAGCTAAAAATTATATTGTATGTACATGGTTATATACTAGATATGTGTCTATGTACGTATGTGTGTATGTAAATAAATGGCTTGCAAAACATTTTATGCATAAAAATAATATAATTTAAAATTCAAGTCACAGTTAAGTTAATATGCTTGTGCTTAAGGCGTAGCTATAGAGTTTAGACAATATTTTATAAAATTTTTTTGCTAGCGATGACAAACACTAAAAGCCGATTTTTATAATAATGCTAGTGGCAATCATCGTTATTTATTATTATCAAGATTTGTAATACTTTTTAGAGTTGCCAGATCGAAAAACTCGGTTTTAACATAGTACAAGCAAATGTATATCAGCAAAATTATTAAATAATTTATCCCGAATTACAGTATCGTCGCAGGCTATTAAAAACATTGTTAATGAGTTTTTTAAGTAAATTGTAAAATTATAAATTTTTAACAAAATTTAATGGATTGACAATTTACGAATTTCGATTAATCGATCTGTGATTCATCGATCACCAAGTAAATCGATTAAAAAGATGCGTCTCTATTAACTTTCAAAGCCAATGTCAATTGCAAAAAGCGTACTTACATAAAAAGTGACACCTCTTTTAAGTATTTTACCAAATTTATTTTTCCTGAAGAGTGTACGATTTTTTGGACTTTTTAATTGATATACGGACAATTAAATTTTGATTAATGTTGGAATAAGATATAACACCGACTGCCCGACTCTCCAGAATCAAGCAAAAAATATATTGTTAAAGCTTCGAATCAATCTCCAATTGATCGATTTTCAATTAATAGAACTGTAATTGATCGATTTCCGATGAATCTGCCAAAAATTAAATCGATTAAAAAGCTACATCTCTATTAATTTTCTAATATTAATCGCAACTCAAAGCCAATGAATGGTTTATGCTTCGATTAATCGACTTTCGATAATATTTACCGATTAAAAAGTGGCATCTCTGTTCAATATTTTATTAAAGCCCATGCATATGCAGTAAGCATTTTTCTCAACGCAAAGTTGAAGTCTGTTACATACATACATACATTAAGAACTTAGATATTTAAATTATAAGGAAAATAAGCAAATTAAAATAACTAATAAGTATGTATAACCCTACTTATGTACATAATTATAATTACGTATGCATACATAGCTATTGAATCTTTGGGTACGCTTAACAACATTTAGCAAAAAAAGTAAGAACTAAATTGCTCACAAAAATACATACATATATCGTTACCTAAAAGTGAAAAGGTGCCAAGTCCATTTATTAAAATGGTACAGAAACACCCTCTTAATTGTGTATTATCTGTCATGCTGCATCAAAAATTCAAAATTATAAAAAGTGGACTTAGCACCTTTTCACATTTAGGCACTACGAGTACATACATAGCAGCAAATAATCGATTTTAATGATTCTCTTCTTACAAGTATTTCGACTTTCGTTGTCTCGCTATTGGCGTTTGCTTTACATCTTAAACTACATAAGTATATAATATGACAAAATAAATACTTTATAGAATTCTTTTTTTTTCTATATATTTTTTTTTTTTAATTCTTTCACTGCTTCCACAGTTCAGCTGGCAGCTATGGCGAAACCCGCGCGCACAAATATTCGTGTTTTTTTTTTGCTATCAAATAGAACGAATTACAGCTGGGCACGTGTCTTTACAGTCTTCTTCACGCTGCACAGCTTCACAGCTTATCGGTTATTTCACTTGTTTCGTAGCGTTCAATTTGCGCGCCATCAGCTGTTTTCTCCTTCTCCTCCGCTTCGAAATCGATCTTACGCGGTGGATCGTTGAAGTCCTGCACCTCACCCGACGCCCAGATAACGTAGACAATGGCAGTGACGAAAAGTATGGCGAATGCAACCCAGAAAACGGTACGCCATTCGAGCAGCGAGGCCTGGAAAATAAAAATATGTAGAATGATTAGGAACTGAGTGATAAAATATGTAAAAGAAAATTGCAAATTTCAAATGGAAGGCGAACGAACTCGGGCCCAACGAGAGCGACGCATTCTACAAGTGACGTTCGTGTCTAATAGCTTCTAAGGCGATAATGCAGATTAATTTCGAAGATTTGCCTGCTCTAAAGCACTATCACCTAAAAATTTATATTCCACGTATTTCCGCTTGAAAAATAGTGGAGTAACTGCTCTTTGGTATCGTTTTTTTTTTTTTGAAAGTTCGACCCAACTATACAAGCACGGGCATACAAGCCCAAGTTTTTCCAATTTCAGGTTTTTGATTCAAATGCATATCATATAACCCTATTATATTTGGATTATGGGTTAATTTTATTCTGGAGATATATGTATGTATATAAACAGAGTATATTGTGACCTCAGCTCATCAGAACACTGGATCTATGCAGCTCTAAAGACTATAAATTTCAGAATAGAAACCGGAGGTAAGAAGTGTATGTGCTCTTCTCTTGGCCATAGATGTCATATGGCCCCTCCTTTCTCCGTGAAACGGCCTCCCACTACAGGAGGTGGTAATTGTCTCACATCGGTTGCCAAATCCCTAGCTTATGCAAGTGGCCTCTTGGCCTAAATGAGCCGTCAAAATACCTATATTAATTCCTATCCACCCCTGGGGGAGGTTTATGAGTAGCCTGTATTTCTTTAGATTATACCCCCTAGTAAGCTGTTAGCTTGACGAGGACCCATGCTATTTTGCTAGTGCAATTTCCTAAGTTTGGTATTTTCCTTTCTGAGTACTTCCTTCATCGTGTTAGGATCTACCGCAAGGAATATCCTATCAGGATCGATTCAGCAGGCATTCTAGGCTAGCTGATCAGCTTCATAATTTCATTGGACTCCCATGGACCCTGCTACCCACATCAGTGGGACAGTATACTTTCACTTCGATAATTCCTACGAACGTTAATCTCTGCATACAGACTAATGGCATAAACTTCTAGAGACGGTTCCTAAGGGCACTGAAAGCTTCAGCATAGGGACACATAAGCTTGCTCTAATACCCTGCTCCTAGACGCGTCTCTCCATAATAGAGGCACTCCCAGTCGCCTTGCTGTATACATCAATCTTGAAGCTTCCTACAAAAGAAGCTATTCTATGTATATCATCTCTGGCGAACATAACTAATTAAACTTGGAAGTCTGGCTTTTCCTTGTTACTAATTGGAAAGACCTTACCTTGTGTCACATATATGCAATAAGGAGCCATTAGAAAACTTCGTTGGGACCTTCATAGGGTCCATCATGTACTGACTTTTAAGTCGGAGTGGCTTTTTAATGGGAGCTTTCACTCATAGATAAAAAGCTACGTTATAATCTGTCTACTGGGGTAAAATATCGACGTAATGAAGTGTCTATCAAAACTTTCTATGTCAATGTCCGAACTCACGGCCTTAGAACTATCTACATATGCAAATATATATATAGAGCTTTTTTCTTTGTTAAAACTTGGCTGAAAACTAATAAACGGATTTCAACCGAATTTGGACAACATATTCCTTAGACCTGTGGGGCAGACATATGCTGTATGTTTAATCCGCTAGATGGTGCATGAGTTGAGGTATTTAGAAAATTTTTATTTAGAATCATATAGTTTTTATGAAATTAGAGACATATACTGGGGGTGCGACGAGAAATACCTTCACAACAATTTATGCGCAAGGTGGTGGTTAAGTCGAGATATTCCTAAAATCTCTATTTATCGCCCGATTTTGATGAAACTAAAAACTCCGGTGCGATATTCAAATCTATACTTTTGCAAAAAATGGATCCGCTAGGTGACCCTGATATCGAGTTTTCCAGAAAATCCATATTTAAGGTACGATTACAGCTATTTTTGACATATTTCCTATTGAAAATTATGTCCGCTAGTATTTTTATAAAACCCTGAAGTAGTAATGCACTAAAATTTCTCGGATGTAGTTAATATAACTTACTCTTAGCTAGACTGGCTATTCTCTATGAAATGTCAATACTTCCTTCCGTTTCAACTTACATTTGGTGTCATCAAACCGACTAAGGATGGCGAAACCACGCCTGTAATCGCGCCAATGCCATTAGTTATTGCCATCAATGTACCCGCATAGTTGGGACTCATGTCGAGTGGTGTTAGCTTCATGCCTGCATAGAAAGCACCCATAAGACCCATACAAATGGTGAAGAGCGTCACGACTACAACACGATCACAACCCGCATATGAAGCGGCAACCATGAAGATCGCTGGACCAAAGGCGGCTGCGCAGAAAAAATAAAAAACAACAACGAAAATTAGAGTAACAATATATTTTCGCTAGCCACTACTGTTTGGCTAGTCACCCACCCACGCCTTCCGACTTACCCAAACCAGTCATCATTTTGCGTACTTTTGTGATGCTCATAATCTTGCGAGTGATTAAGACATCGCCAACCCAGCCGGAGCTCAGCGAAAATATCCACATTACAGCGTATGGCAGTGAAGAGTAGAGACCATTGGCTTTGATGGAGAATTGCATAACGTCCGCCATATATTTGGGCAAATCAGTAACCATAATGTAAAAGCCCCAATCGTGACCGATTTGTGCCGATATCAGCGCCCACATTGGCAAGCTAGTAAGTATAGCCTTCCATGGTGTGGGTGCCAGATTCTTGTTACGTCCAATGGTGCCCATATGTTTGGTTAGATATTGCTTTTCGCTGGGCTTAATAAATGGATGTGTCGTCGGATCGCTGTAGCAAAGGAAGGTCTAAAACGTATACGTAACATTAGGAAATGCATATATTATAAATCTCGACTTGTTTCACTTTGATTTGTTTGCGTTCATTTCTACTTACAAATATTATGAACCATACAATGCCCATGCCACCGAAG